ACCCAACGAATCAAGTAGGCTGACGGGCTCACATATAGGCGCCCTGAAGCATCCACCTTGGTTTTAAGAGTGTAAGATGCACAGAAATACCCAATTCAGCTGCTTTTCCCCTCACTTCATCTCCTTCTCTCCTAAATATTTTGAAATACCACCACAAGAGCCTGTTCTTGCAGTTCACACAGAAGCAGAACTCTCACTGAAGCCAATGAGTGCAGAATGCGAGATCTAATTAAGTCTTTTAATCCCCAAAACAGTTATTCCATTTCATGTGTTTTTATAATTGGTGATGCTTCATTGCCTATGTTTTGTTTTAATTACTACCCTTTCTTCAACATGTAAAACAAACACACACACACACACACACACACACAAAAAGGCTGCTGTACTGAATTTTAAAGGTCTTCTCTGAAGAAAAAAAAAAAGAGGTTCTTTTACTTTGCATATCAATATTAGTTATCTTGGGGCATTTCTCAGGAGATTAGAAGGGTCAGGCAGTACCATAAAAATCAAACCCCTTTCTCCCCACAACTGACATGCAATATACAGCATTCTGCCTGCGTACCAGCGGCGCCATCTGCTGTTAGGTACTGATACATGAAAGTCTTTGCCATATATTACTATTTATATTGTACTCTGTAAAAAATATTATTCCACAGTAGACAAACTAGAAGAAAATGTGTCTTGTTCACATTTCATCACTTGAAAAAAAAAAAAAGTTATATGGAGTGTAGATGATATATCAAGTTCAAAAACGCTAATTTCCTTTTCCCTGCATGTAGAATGAGATTTAAAAGGACATCTTTTCAGTCCCACCAATTTTTCCTCACATCAGAGATCAGAGAGAACTGATGACAAAAAATCCTAGTACTGAATTGCCATTTCTCTCTATGAAGGATATTTAAAATATAAAATGACTTTTTTTTTTTTTAAACATAACCATTGCTCATTCATTAGCACTTTAAAAAAAACATTATTTTGGTGCGATTTGACATACTTATTTCAAACATCTTCTTAACCCTTTGGGACCTTGGTCTATCATTTGGGATTAACTGCTTAAATTTAAAAGGTACAGAACTTTGGCATCTGCCAGGCTGACATTCTTGAAGGCCAAAAAGAAGGGACACTTGTCTGCAGGATAGGTAGAGTCTTAGCTGCAATACTGAACACTTCCTATTTTGCATCAAATCTCCATGTTGAACTCTCCAAAGAATGAAAAGGGACTTCTCTTCCAGGCCCATTCAGTCATTGCCTCTTAGCTGAAAATGCCAGAAAGCAAGTCCAACGTGGGGGTATGCCTGATGTGGATGCTTATCAGCCGATAACTACTGAACTCAAGACCCCAGTCATTTCACACAAGCCAGTGGTCCAACCACAACTTTTAGCCAGTAACTGTCTGATTGGGCCCATGGTATTCAAATTCTAGTTCAGGTTGGAAGGAATTGCTTTCATCATCCAGTCTTATCCCCAACATTAACTCATGTGCATCTTTGTCCCACAGTAACCTTCGTAATACCCTTTTACAATTATATTTTATCCTCTCCACAACAAGTTAGTTGCAGGCTGGCAGGCTATTTTTCATGTCTTACCTGAGGTGTCAGTATTATCTGCAATGGAGCATCTGGTACCACAACGAAGAGTCTCATGAACTGAGCGTAGTGGGGTTTTAGTCCTCGCCCCTGGGTTGATGACAGGATGTATAAGGGCATGTCCGAATTAAGGGCTTTGATAGCGGATTCTTTAGGGCCACCTCCCATCACCTTCATGACTTTATCAGGCCCTGAACACATGAACCTTCGGCCACGTGCATCTTCGTATTCGAACCCGACAAAGGCTCGAGCCATGTCATCTCTCCGTCTTCCCCTACCCATTACAACCGCACTTCTTTTGCCAGGAACAGCCTTATTCGGAGCAGGCCAGGAATTGGTGTCTAGATCTCCCTCTTCTTCAGGTCTTGTCCGGATGGCAATGTCCCAAGGCATTAGGTAGTTTGTTCCTGGGATGAAGCCTTGCTGGTCTAAGCCTGTGTGGAAGTTGTAAGCCTTAGCAGGGCCAAGTTTGACCAAGGACCAGCTGGAGAATTTGGGCAGAAGGCCCTTAGGGCAATTAGAATGAAGCATGCCAGGGAGATACTCCACAGTGGACGCCTGGCGATCTACTAGGCTTGGCCTTTTCTCACTTTTAGATTCTCCTCCTTGCCCATGGGCTTCTGCATTGTCTCCTCCACCTTGAGGATCAGCTGGGTAGGTGCCAAGGCTGTCTGTCGACTGGCCTAGACTAAGGGCTAAACTCAAGCTGGTGCTCTCTCCTTGCGTTTGAGGCTCTTTTTCTTTAAGTTTTTCAACTTCTCCCTCTGGAGGGGCAGGGGATGACTCATTCTTGGCAGGTGCTGGATCTGGGGTACTTGGCTGAAATACTGGGAAGTTGATGTGCTCCAGTTTCCCGCAGCATTTTTCTTCCAGTGCCTGTGAAAGATAGAAAGTTGTTAGCTTTTCATCTTGCAGCCTCAGTGCATGCAGTGCTCCAAATTGTCAGCTGCACTGAATGCCGTAATAATATAAGCTATCAGTACAACAATATCTACAGACAAGCGGTCAGATGTTTGCTTTCAGTGAAGCAGGAATTGTAGCACTTCTATACAGCCCACAGCCACCAAGTGCATGATGGATCTGAAACTCACAGTAACCTTTACACTTCGGCTTGGTTTTGAAGTGAGGCAGACACTTTTTTGCAAAGACCTTACTTTTAAGGCTTTGAAGTATTCCCTGTGCCAGTTCTGATTCTTACTGGTACACCAAGTACTGTGTCTACATTGCTTAGCCTGTCTCTAACCTGAATTGTCAAATCTTAAAGCTAGAAAGAATTACTATGGGCACTTCATCTCACCTCCCACATAACAAAAGCTTTAGTCCCTCACCTCATAATTCTTGCATCAAGCTTCTTGGGCACATATTTCAAAGACGTATCCAGTTTCAACTTAGAGGTTTCAAAAGAGGTGGCAAATCCACCTTATCTATAGCAATACTCATTCCAGCTATTAAAAATCTGCAACTTATTTCTAGTCCGAATTTGTCGAGTCTTGGGTCAACGCTTCAAACTTCTGCTAGAGAAATCACGTCAATGAGAGGTACCATTTTGTTTTTAAAACTACAGAAATTCTATTATAGATAGTTATACCAGCAAAAAAGTGCAATTCCTGAAATAGCTTGTTACTGAACTGGTATAAGCTGTTATGGCAAATGGAGCACCTACATTAGAAAGTTTTGCTGGCATTGCTAGACCGTCAAGCTTTTCTCGGTTCTAGTTCCTAGACCTAGACCTCACTTACCTTTATTTCTGATAGACTAGCGGCCCCCTACTCCCCAGACATCTCTCCCAACAAGGTACTTAAAGACAGTGGAGGTTCCTTTTACCCTTTTTTGGACGTCCCGAGATACAAACTGCATCTTATTTGTAAAGGCAAGGCACAGGTATTGCTGAATAACAGCAAAAATGGGGAGATAAGAGTTACCTGGTAGAAGTCATAATTAGCTGCTTTGATATCAAAGGGATCATCCCGGGGTGCTTGTTTCCTTCCACAATTACAGGCGCCAGTTGAACGAGCCCGGCTGTTGTGATATAACACCGGAGGATTTCTATCTGCTTCTGGTTTTTCCCCTGAAGAAGTAACAATATCAATTTATGTCCAATTACTTTTTCTGCAGAGGTGCTTGTGAATTCAACCCCCTTCATCTTCTCCTTTTACTTCTTGACAATGTTTCTCCCCACAGAATGACTTTCCAACCACACTGATTTACCCTACAACTCCTTCCCCTCATCCCACATTTGCTGCATAGTCACTGTGGATATTAACCCAAACTAATCTGGCCTGTCCTGCTTTTGAGTTGCTGAGCAGAGGGGTAAAATCATATTTCCTATAATAAATGTATCCCTAGTCATTCCTGGTCATTGTGTAGTAACACTCTACCTAACAATCCTGCAGCTCTAAGGAATGTTTGTCCTAAACACCTTGCTAGAAAGGTATCTGCACTGTATTCCTAACTAATATGGTAAGAACCAGTAACAGGGACAGTCCTGTAATCCTTTTTATAAGAATAGCAACTAGTGTTAAAGCCAAAATCTTGTTTGAGGGGGAACACATGGCCCAGGGAATTAAACAAACTAGAGAGCTTTTACACCCTTACGTTACCGGTATTAGTACAAATTTGTTACTATCATATACTGTTCAGTGATCTCTATTCCCATGTCAAGCATATGCACCTTATAATTCATCCCCATCGCCGCTACATTGGGCAGTCTGTGCAGATACGGCAAAGACTGACTCAGTCAGGCAAGCTCAGCTCTTATAAAAGCCTAAGAGTGGTGCCAGCCAGAAATAACAGAGGAAAATGCGGGAAGTCTGTAAAACAGCCTGTTCTGTACCTATATTCGCCTCAGTCAGAAGAATGGACTCTCTACAGCTGTTAATGTTTACGGAAGGTACAAGATTGAAACTACCCTCAAAAAATCTACAAGTTGAGTCTAAATCACTGTTTTTTTCTTGTTCTTTATAGCGTCCCTTTCAAAATGCCTTGCTGTCCAAACAGGCACACGGCTTTAGGATTTAAAAGCTTGAAAAGCTAAAACCTAGGGAGATCCTAGGTGCAACCAAGCTTCATTACCTGATTTTGGAAGCAAGTGGAATTTGTGCACGCAGTGCTGGTCTGTTAAGCTTCGCTCCTCGCACAGCTGATGCCCGTTGCTCCAGAACTTGTAACAGTCTTCATGAAGCTGCATGGCGTACTTGTGAAAGGCTGGTCCCCGGGCATGCTGGCTGTACACCCGCAAAGCCTGTGCCAGCTGATTTTTGTGGACTGTCATGGTGTAGTTATGGGGCAGGTTGGACTGGTAAGCACTGTGGGCCATGGGAAGGGCCTTCTGGCACCGGTTTTCAGAAAACTTGGTGTCGATGTCGAGATACCCTTCCAAGACTTTGATGCTGCCCATGATTTTGGAGCTCAGCTCCCCTGTGAGAGAGGCCGGGTCGTCGTCTTTCCCCTCGATGGTCACCTCGTATAATTTCTGCGCGGTGGCCACCCACTTCTGGTAGGTCGGGAGCTCGAAGTGGGAGGGCTGGGGGTTCCTCCCCACGCTGTCGTCGAAGCCTTTCTTGCTGAGCACCAGCTCCACGTGCTGCCACAGGAACTCCTTGAGGGTGCAGTCCACCAGCTGCCCGGAGGAGCTGGAGCTGGAGCTGCTGCTCTCGGCGTGGAAGGACAGCTGCTGCCGGCCGTGCCTCATCATCTGGTACCGCCGCGGCCCCGACAGGGTGGGCGCCAGCAGGTTCTCCGCCTCCCGTGTGGTGCAGTTGCTCCGGAGCTGCTCCAGCAGCACGGCCACGGGGTCCTCGCCATCCTGCGGCCCGCCGGCCACAATGTAGACGAAGGCCTGGTTGGCGGGCACGGTGAAGAGGCAGTTGATGCTCTGGTTGGTCAGCACCCGGCTCTTGCGGAAGATGCGGTAGATCTGGTCCTCCAGCGCGTGCTGCAGCCGCCGCTTGGGCGAGTGCTTCTTGGGCGGCGGCTTCTCCAAGTGGGCGCAGGGGTCCTGGCCGCGGCCGGGAGGGGGGTCCACCTTGAGGGCCCCGTTGAGCTGGAAGAGGAAGAGCAGGCGGGGAGGGCAGGGCCGGCAGTTCAGCTTCCACTCCTTACCCACGGGGCAGTCCTTGATGGCAGCCTTGAGGCTGGGCAGCACTTTCTGGCGCAGGCCGTCGAGCGCCCGGAAGACGCGGTCGTAGGTGATGTCGAAGGCGCAGGTGGGGTGTGCCAGCAGCAGCACGTGGCACACGGAGAAGAGGTAGAGCAGACTCAGGCAGTGCAGCTTCTCCTGCTGCTTCCACAGCTCGTGTGCCTCGGCATGCGGCAGCTGCCCGGGGCCCGGCGGGCCCAGTTCGCGGCAGGCCCGCAGCAGCTGCGGCGCGTCGCAGATGGAGCTTAGCACCAGGTACAGCACCTTGCTGTCCGCGCTGTGGTAGGCCTGCAGCTGGTTGTAGTCCGCGAGGGCTCCCCCGGCCCCGGCCGCCTCGTCCCGCTGGAAGAGCGGGAAGACCTGGCGGTCGCACACGGTGCTCACCAGCGCCGCCTTCTCGGAGCACAGCTGCAGCGCCGTCTTGCCGAAGATGCCCACCACGCACAGCTCCTCCTCGCCCGCCGCCGCCGGCTCCGCGCTCTGCAGCAGCTCCCGCAGGCTCACGGGCGCCGCCATGACCGCGCCGGGCAGCCGCGCATGCGCGGGAGGGCGCGC